CATATACCAAGGGCAGGTATGTGCCACACATGTCTGGCAGAAAGGGTGTGACAATGTAAGCAAAATACCAAGGGCGGGTATGTGCCACAGTTATGGGGGTATGCCCCACAGGTGTTTGACAGTGTGTGTCTACTGAGAACAGTGAGAGCACACATTGGTATTTCAAATGCGAGAGCATTAACAAAAACCGACATCGGCAGCCTTGCCTGGATGAATGCAAAGAATAAATATCGGGGTTCAAGCAAGAATCGAACCATAGCCTTCTGCATGGCAATCAAGTATTCTCCCACAAAGCTATGCCAGGTCTCGAAGCTGCTTTGGGAACAGACCTATGCAGGCGTAATTTTCCTGTGACGTCAATTGTGGTTGAACTGCTGGCTAGTTAATTTCATAAACTTTACATATATAATCCTCTTATACAGTCGTCACGTTGGTTGACATCAATTGTAGTTGAGCGTCATCTAATGAAGTTGACTTGTGTACAAATATTCAGAGCTACCATACTCACAAACACAATATCTATTTGTTAGTACTTCGCTTTTAGTTCCGTTAACATGCTTAGTTCTGTTGGAATCATTACACAACTGTAAGCAATTAAAGGGGCCCTAAAACACTTTTTCAAGTAACCATGGAATAAATTCACTGGAAGAGCTTATTGCCTCACAACTTCAACGCCGCAAAACTTTTAAGAAGCCGTACATTGCGAGTTGATGTGACCAAGGAGTGGAGCATCGGCGTTCAGCTAGGCATCAGGAAAGGAAGAACTGTTGGGAGGCTTCTTGCTCACACAAAGAGCAAACGATTTATTTACATATTTACACAGGTCAAGCACACTAGGCGTTGAGACGTGCTTTTACATGAGACACGACCGGCCGCAACGAAGGCTGGAGAAAGAGAGCCCCTGCCCACATGTGATGCGCTTTTTATTCTCCTCGATTCGTGCACGCGCTTCTCCTGAAAGGCCGGTCACGCAGACCCGTGTCACTGGCACACCGGTGTGCGCTCTTTGCAGTGCACTTGGGAGAGTTCCAGCGTTCTTGTGGGACACAGACAGCGTTCTCGTCGACGCAAACCGAATAAGAGAGGTCAGCTGATGGCCGTCTCTTGTGGGCCAGATCCATGCAATGCCAGCCATAACAGCCTGTTCGCCCCCTGAAGAAGTCACATAAGGGCTGCAGTGTCACTGCTCTCTGAAGTGGCCATTGTATGTCTCCTTGGGCATCGCACTCACTGTACATCACAACCCAGAGCTGCACAGCACACATGATCTTAGATCTTACGGGAGGGGGGGGGGGGGCACACCCACACACCTCGGCATCGCAACCACTCACAGTGCATACCACACGCTTGGTCACTGCATGGGACAGTCCACAGCCGCATAGTCCCAGTCATTGTTGCCATGTCGCCCCTTGGTCAAACTTGTCACATGGCGCTGAATGAAAGCCGCCGTCCTCAAAGGCTGGTTCTTCCTGGGCTATGCAGTAGCTATAGCTGGGCTTTTTCTCTGCCTGGTTTTTGCGGGGGAGGGCAATCTAACAGCACATCTACGCTGGGAGCACTCAATCCTGCAAAAGTTCGCCAGGTGCAAGCTATAGCAAAGCTGCTTTCTCAATTTATTGCAGAACAAAAGTCTACACTATGGTGATGACCAGCCGAACTCGAAATACATGCACACGCTCTCGTAGCATGCACAGAAACTTGAAGTACTGTCAGGGGTTTAGCCCGCTTGTTCGCTAAGTTGCACTTGGGCTTAGGGCGTCGCCATTTTTTCGTCATCTTGGCTTTAGAGCTTAATGACCTGTGCCCCAAGTCCTCCGAAGCTAAGACCCATTTTTTTTTACAAAAAGTTGGACTTGTTTGAGAATAGGTTATGATACTGCTTCGGCATACTCTGAGACACTGCCACCTCGGTCTTTAGCACCCCAAACGGCCCTTTAATCTTTATTTTTGTGACAGGCAGGCAAATGCTGTTCTTTTCTGCCAACTGCTTTATAAATGCGAACTTGCCCGTGAAATTTTGATCTTCCATGTCAGTGGTTCTCAGCTATGGATTAGTCAGGGACCCCTTGTGGCCTGGTGAAAGTGATGGGGGCCCCTTGCAGCGGAGGGGCAGAGAGGGATTGGGAGTATGCAGGTAAATTAACACGACTGGAGTGTGAAACGGAGCCTTTTACTGCTACCAAAAACATCAAACAAACGTGCCACTTTACTTGATTTTGGACAGTTTATGAATGCGAGGCACAGTCATGCTTAAATAAAAAAAGTGGGTGAGGATATCGTGGATCATAGAATTGGCTTTGCGGACCCCTTAGGGTCCATGGACCCCTATTTGAGAACCACAGTTCTATGTGATTGGGTGGACGAGGTCGATTGTGTTGGCGGTGTCACGGAGTACTCTGCAATGCTTTCTGTTTACTCGTAAGACGCATATGTAAGGCTTTGAAAAATGCATATTTTTGTCGTCACCACTCGTTATCGAAAAAGCTAACTTGGCTTTCCGGCAGCCAGCTTCTATGTGCCCTACCTCATGGCACCAGAAACACATCGGTGCCTTCTTTTTCTCAAAACTCTTTCTTTGCCGAGTTTTCGTTTGCTTCATTCTCGGTTGCATTCTCTGTAGTGCTGGTGCCTTTACTTACAAGACAATCTTTGAGCAGCTGGTTGCTGAATAAACGAATACGTGCTTTCTGGAATTGGTGTCAGACGCTGTACTCATCAGCTAGTTCGGCTTTGTGCTTGGTGCTTTCCTTGCCTGGTCTATCCTGCACTCATAGGCAAGCTTTCTAATCCAAGCACCCGTAAAATTCTTCAAGACAAATCAGATAAACTAGCTTGTCTCGATCCTCGTAAACACCTACTCCCTTTAGCCTCTCCACCAAATCAGCCTTCATGCTGAATGCAAACTCCTGAAGTGTTTCACCCGCTTTCTTTTTAGCCTTCCTAAACTGGCGGCGAAAAGCTTCTTCTGAAAGCCAGTATTTCCTTAGGAGCTCAGCCTTCACTTTGTCATAATCTTCCGCGTCTGTTGCTGCTGTTGCTGGCAAACACGCAAGTATGTTTGCTGCTTCGTAGGGCAAAATCATAAGCAGTTTTTGCGGCCACATGGCACGATCGAAGCCCATCTTTAGGCAAGTTCTTTCAAAATTTACATGAAACAATGAAATGTCTTCGTTAATTTTATAAGGCTGCAAGAGGTCCCTCATGTTCACTCGTGCATCTGCATGAATCTTTGCGTTTTCTGTTCTCTTCCCATTCGCATGTCTTGCCTTTGTGATCTGCAGCTCAAGCTATAGTTTTTCAAGCTCCCTGTCTTGTCTTAGTGCTTCTTCTTTACACCTGACAGTCTCCCTTCCCCGTCTTCTTGTGCCCATTCCATCCTTTTCTGAATTGGCTCCCAGCACTCGGAAAGCTCCTCCTCATCCACGCCGGACTCCTTAACCGCTTCTATCAAGTGTGGCTTCCTATGCATCGTGGCCACCTTATCCCCAGCTCCTCACACAAAAGTACTAAATCTGGTTTCCTGAACTTGTAAATTCATGGTTCATTCCTGTGCGGACTTCCTTTCAAACTGCTGCAAAGGTACCGTTAAAATACTCAAGCTTTCACGAAGCGGCAACCAAGCTATACCCCTTCGGATAAATCTCGGCATCTATTCAAAGCATTTGGCAGAATTACTGCAGAAAGTGAGCACTCATCAGATCCAACACCATGAAAGAACACGAACCAGATCCAATCACGAACCCCCTGCTGCAACCAGTTGATGAGACCAAGGAGTGGGGCATCGGCAGTCACCCAGGCACCGGGGAAGAAAAAACTGTTTGGAGGCTTCTTGCTCACACAAAGAACGAAGGATTTATTTTCATATTTACACGAATCAAGCACACTAGGCATCGAGACGCGTCTTTACACGAGACATGGCCGGCCGTAACGGAGGCCCGAGAGAGAGCACCCCTGCACACATGCGGCACGCTTTTTATGCGACGCGCTTCTCCTGAAACGTCGACTGCGTCTCACAGCGTTCTTGTGCAACGCGGATCGTGTCTCACTGGCACGCCAGTGCACTTTTATTGCAGTGCACTTGGGAGAGTTCCCACGTTCTTGTAGGACACAAACAGCGTTCTCGTCGATACTGACAGTGTAAGAGAGGTCAGCTGAAGGTCAGCTGATAGGCGTTTTTTGTGGGCCGGATCCATGCAGTGCCAGTCATAACAGAGTGGAGTTACAAAAATTTGTCTCTTGCTGCAATTGTGTTCTCTCTTCTCTCGTCCCGACGAAAGTCCTAAAAGCTGAGGAGGGAGGGATGGCAGGGGCCAACAGTATCCGTCACGCTTGACTCGTGACCTTGAAAACTTTTTTTTTCTTTGAATACGTGGCTTTTTCAGTGTGATCATGCACGCACACATGAACAAATCGTGGCCTCCCGCGGCAATCTCTGTAACAACCGAGCGTGCCATGTTAGAAAGCCAATGGCTGATAGATGGGCATTTCATGAGTGATTTTTGAGCATCATCTGTAATTTGTCGAGTGAAGAGAAAGTAATATTTAGCTGACTTTGATAGTTTATTTTTAATTCCAGACCGCGTGCTGTGCTCTAATATTTGGCTTGCGTTTTGTCGAGAGCTGCTACTACTGATTGGCAGCCTTTTCTGACCATGCTCAAAAAGCATTGCAGGGCTCCTTTAAGTGAGTAAATAAAAACTGTGCGACTGTCATCTGTGCGTATAACATTTGTACATATATTTTGAGTTCATCTCGTAACGTTTCATTGAATAAAAAAAAAAATTACAACAGTCACCTTCTTTCCGCATGCTTCGCATAGCATTGCTTCTCAAGGTAAGTGGGATCTACCGAGTTTTCCATGGCTTTACAAATGTCCCTACGCGAGCAATGCATTTTTGAGACAATACACTCCAGGCTCTTCTCAGCTAGGATACTGATTTCTGACACAGTGCCATTACAATTTAGGTTCTAATACCTGTACGACTCTCATTTTTGTGCAGAATGTTCTCTGCCAAGGAAATCGAGAGCATCCGGAAGATTCGCATGTACGACATCATCCTCACAGCAACAGATATCAAAGCACATGAGATCCAGAAGAATGTGTTCTTTCACTACAAAGGTAAGCTCATTGCTTTGCTACAGTAGTCTAGTGGTTATGGCATTCAAATATGAAGGGGAGACATGGCAGTGGAAATAGTAAATTTGGTCAAAATGTTCAGATTTTCAAATAATTTTTTTCTGCAATCCTGAGACCATGTTTTATATCATAGTGTGATTTTAGATCAAAATAAGTTGTAGAAGTTGAGAAACAAGCATTTTACTGGCGGGCTGTTGTGAAAAGCTATGTGAAAATTGGGCATAGCAAAGTGCCACTTTATTAGCATCATCATAAAGAGGACAGATTGGAGCGCAAGATAGCCACAAAGATTCATTTCTCCAATAAAAAATAAAGCCAGCTTCCTTCCGGGTTCCGTTTTATCAGCTTATAGCTCCAAATTTTTTTAGCTCTATTTTCTCAGGTTTCATTTTTTGAGAAGTTGCTGTCAGTCATTCCTGTGTCGTTTCACAACAAATTAAGCTATAGCCATTCCGTTTTCTGCACTTAGATGCTGAGACATTGGTGAGGGCCGTAAAACTGTTCATATTTGTATGCACATCATACAGACTTTTATAATCAGCTTTTTGTAAATGTTGTTGGTAAGACAATATGTTCAGAATTTTTCAGAAAAAAAATTTGTGTGCTTACTTAAATAATAAAAATAAACCAATGGCATTAGTACATAAAATGGATCCTTGTAAATATTCTTATGCAAATATTCTGACAAACTTGTGTCTAGCCAATTAATGTTGGGGGGGGGGGGGGGGGGGGCAATGAGAGTCTATCAAGTGTTATCACTCAAAATTTATATTAGATAGCTAAAAACCGATTTCAGTTGTGATATCAGCACAACAAAAGACATCTGCATGCCCAATTTGATCCTTTTAGCTTTATAAATAACAAAGATAATTTTATTGCCACGTCCCCCCTAAACTTGAACGTCGCTGGATGGAATCTCGGCTGTGGCTGCTGCATTTTTTGATGAAAGCGAAAAGGCTTCAGGCCCGGGTGCTTAGATATAGATGTAGATTATTGAATTCCAGGTGATCGAAATTTCCGGAGCCCTCCACTACAGCGTGTCTCATAATTATGCGGTGGTTTTGGAAGGTTAAATCTCAGATCTAAAAAAGGTGAGCTTGCTGATGCCACTCACCATTAGTTCTGCTCAATGTTACTTGCGTACATTGATCATCTACTCTGGGCAAGCACAGTTTGCTACACCGACTACAACGTCATTAACTGAGATACTGAAGCTTTCTATACTTCATTTTACATACTGAGTGTTTTATATCCGACGACCAACTGGATGCATAATATATTCCTCCAAGCAAATGCTTCTACATTGAAAAAAACCTGTAAGCTAAAATTACGTGAGTCTTCTCAAGTAGGTGCTTGCTATATGACATAATGCCACACTGATCCCCCATAAAGGAGAAATTTTAAAAAATATGCAACAGGGCTATGTCACAGGGCTATTGAGACATTGAAAAGACGCTGATTATGTTCCATACTGAACAGGCAAGTGCATATCACTTCCATCACACACGAAGGTCAAACGTTGCACTAAAAATGTGAGGACTAGAAGGAACACTTACAACAGGCGAGTGTAAATCATCAATTGAAGTTCATTTGAAGAAACACGAATACTTATATAAAAAGAAATCACACAACACCGTCATTACGTGCTCAGGCTCTATTGTGACGTGAAAAAATTTTTTTTTCTTCAAGTATTACTGGTGCGCAACTAATGTACGTGTCTCCTGCGCGTGCATTTTAAAACGCTTCGAGGATCTCCCTCTCTAATGTATCGCCGGAAGGAGTGAAAAACTGTGTCTCATCAAAAATTAGGTGGCAGTTGCAGTTTACAGTGCTCTGTCAATTAGGTGAGGCTCATTAAATTTTTTCTCGGTGAATCATTAATCCTTCGACAATTTAGACTTTAATAAAATAGTGGGTTTCAGTGTCATGTTTCAGTCAGTTACTCGACATTTCTATGCGTGCTTTAAAAAGTATATACAGCAAAACCTCATTAATTCGAACTCAGTTATTTCGAAGTCGCGCTTAATTCGAAGGATTTCTGCGGTTCCATATTTGCCAATGTAAGTTAAAATGGATAATTTGAAGCAGCGGCCGGCACCAGTCCGGTTAATTAGAAAACTTTGGGTGCCATGCGTCAGTTCCATATCCCGATTTCGCCGCGAATCTGTGGAAACGATGGTAATGATTGCCACAAGGCAATGCAACGTATCGATACTAATGAGTGGCAGCTGAAGCACCCCAGTCTTGCTACTTATAGCTCAACAAAAAAAAAAGAAGAAGAAACGGTCTCGCGGTCAACTAAAACGTGTGCCTGCGGAAACGAACGTGTGCTTCACTGCAGCACAGCGGTGACACCCGGGCAGCTTATCGCATGTTTCCCGCAACGTCAGCGGGTCATGGTTTACCCATTCTTTTTGGGATTGTAAAGAAATTAATAAAGAACAGTTTAGCGGAAGTCGCGATGTATGCGAATCTCCGATTGAGGGTTGTTCCACCTATTCGCGTCTTTGCTCTGCTGGCGGAGTTCTTGCCAGCAACACCTACTTCGAAAACTAAGTGCAAAAGTTTCAAAGACCTTTTTTTTTTCAGCCAAAACACATTCTGAGCTTCGTCATACCGGTCATAATTTAATTCATAATTATAATAGCAAGAATGTGCGAATGGTTACATCATGACGTGCTGACGCAGCGAGGAGCAAGCAACATGCTGCCCGCGTGTCACTACTGTGTTGCAGTGAAGATGTCTAGTTTTCTGCGGGCACACATTTCAGCCGATCACGACCGCGTTTTTTTTTTTTTTTTTTTTTGGTGGAAGCAGTGAGGCCCACCATTCCTTCATGTTCGTGACAAAATAAAGACCAGGTACTGCTGGAAAACATAACCTCTGGAGCCACAAGCTAGTCGGCACAGCAAACAACGAGTACCAATTACTTTGAAGTTCCTTGCATTCCACTGTTTGTATGTTCTGTTAATTCGAAAACCCGCTTGATTCGAAGCTTTCTTACGGCCCCAGTGACTTCAAATTAACGAGGTTTTTACAGTATCATTGCATTTGAGAAGGGTTGTTGATGTTTGCTCTCGACCAAACTCTATCAAAGGCGAGACCACATGTGAACATCTGCGCCTTCGCGAAAATTTGGACATTCGCCCTGTAGACAAAGAAAAACCATCATCTTTCGTTGGTGTAACAGATCGAAAGATCTGTGGGCATCATACATGAACAACTCGGCAAAAGGTCGTACTTCCTTGAAGCCTGCCTTCTTGAGTGCATCCAAATTGGAGCCGTTTTCGGCGACCAGACTAGTCGAAAAGATGCACTGGAAACATGCAGCATGAGTGAGAGTTGAGAAATCTCACAAAAATAAAAGCACAAATGAAGAGAAGGAGCAAGTGGATGAAACACTGGCCCCTTGGGGCGGCATCTTTTTACTGTTTCTTCGTTAGATATTGTGGAAGCCCTCCATAGCACTATAATTGTGGACTGGCAGCATCCCTTCCTTGAAGTCACCCATGCGTCGCATTTGTTTATAAGACCTGTACACCGTTCCAAACTGTTGGCAAATGAAACTTAGACCGTTGCTAAATTGTGTATATAGAAAACCGATGAAAAGTTAGGGGGTGTGAGTTGGGGAAAAATTTCGACGAAAACCTACAGAGCAAAAAAGAAAACGAAGTGGCCACAAATCGGGATTCTCACACCAGCATTTAACAGCAAGCTTAGAGAAGTACTAATTAAAAGGAAGTGCAGCGATGGCATAGTGGTTAAAGCATCCGCCTCGCATGCAAAAGGTCCGTGGTTCAAATCCCGGTGCCGCACAGCTCCCAACAGGATAAAAAAGAATCCGCGTGGTAATAGAACTGCATTAAGAGGCCTGGGGTGTAGCCTCACCGGTAACCCCCGCCGGGAACGCACTCCCTCACCAGAGAAGGATTGGCCACCCAGGTGCAGTATCTGGCCACTACCTTCCACATGCATAACTCAAGGCCCTCAGTCCACAGCAGCTGCGAAGCAACTGACCACGGCGGCGGTCAGATCTGTAACGCAGCAGAGGGTGCTAAGAATCTCTGGATCCAGGCAGGCCGCCATTGGAACCTGAACTTGGCAACATTTAACGCTAGAACCTTATCTAGTGAGGGAACCTAGCTGTACTATTGGAGGAGCAGGAGGGTGTTAAATGGGATATAATAGGGCTCAGTGAGGTTAGGAGGACAGATGAGGCCTATACGGTGCTACAGAATGGGCACTGTTTTTTGCTATCGGAGCTTGGCTGACAAAAGAAAGCTGGGAGTGGGGCTCCTAATTCACAGAAACATACAGGGTGTCTGGCGACCGGGAAAACCTGGAAATGTCAGGGAATTTTTAGCCACCGGGAAAAGTCAGGGAATCGTCAGGGAATTCGTCAATCAAACGAGACAAGTCAGGGAAAACTGTCTTGGGGACTGCCCACACTACTAATCACTCGCACAGCCGATCGCTTTGGGCGGCTAGAGTCAGGGAAATGAAATTTCCATAGAAGGACGATAGGAGGTGTTTAAATTCCATGCTCACTCTGCTTTTTTTTTATGTAGGAAATCTTGAAGGCAATGCATTTTGGTAGCCAATCTTGGAGACGATGCATTTTGGTAGCCAATATTGAAGGTTATGCTTTCTTACGACGCCAAGAGCCAGAATTACGTAATCGAAGTGGAACACGGCAGGTTTTCGGTGTCACCTATTTTTGCGCCATCGTTTGCACGCACTGACCTCTACTAAAATTAGTTTGTGCATTCTGGCTGCGGAGGCAGGGTAACGTAGCATATCGAGCTGAGCCACGACAATCCGCACGCAATAAATCCGGCAAGACGACGTTCCTTTGTTGTACAGTGCGGCTAGGCTCTACTACGACTGAAAATGTGTGAATTGTGAGCTTTGCGTTCTCACGGACGTTTTCCCAGAGTGCCTGCATAGCGCGAATTGTGGTGTGTGACGTTGTCCTCGACTAA